TACCTAACCGCGTAGGGCCACAGAAAATGTGGGGCACGAACGTCAGTCAAGGAGGTGCGGGCGATCTCCATGACCAAGCCTATGCGGCGCTCAGCAACCCCATTCTACTGTGGGGACTCTGGAAACGTCCAGGACTGATGAATGCCCTGCTCGCGACAGAATCCAGTGAGAATGCCGGAGCGAAACTCACCCCCACGGTCGGAGTGAAGACAGCTGACTCGACGACCACGAGTACCCTCAGTGGTAAGCAACCACCTGATCAGCGTAGAAGTCACCTCAGACTTCTTTGCAAGGGGGAACACTGTGGTGTAGCGGGAGTAGTCGTCAACGACCACCAGAAAGAAACGCTCACGCTCAGGGCCAAGGCGAGAGGCGGGGCCCCAGACGTCCAAGTGGAGCGTCTCAAAAGGCTTGGTGGCCGGACGAAGGGAGGAGGACTGAGGAGTGGCGCGCAGCCTACCCTTGACGTAGGGACCGCACGGTGGTGCAAGCGAAGGCGGCAGCGACGGCAAGACACGTGGGAGGCCTTTTACAAGACGCTGATGAAACATAGCACGCAGACGAGGGAGAGACGGGTGCCCCATCCGGTGGTGCCACAGAATGGTGGGGTGGTCAAGTGACCGGCAGGAGCACGACACAGCAACTAGACCAGACAAGGGAACCTGACCAGACACAGCTACCTGGGGGGGCGCAGCAACCTGGTGAGACGCACGGACCAGACTGGGGGGAGGAACAGGGGCCGGGGGCAGTAGTCGCTGCTGCTGCTGCTGCTGCTGCGGCTGCTGCTGCTGCGGCTGCTGCTGCTGCTGCTGCCCATCAGAGCCAGTGTGAAGTGTGTAGAGACCAGAGCCCGGCTCAGCTGTAAAGGTGGCAAGAGGCGTGTAATTGTCTCCGTCAACACAAACCGCCGTCTCACCAGAGGGCTCAATCCACACACCCATGTGCTAACTCACAAGATGCCTCACGCCCACCAAGTTCCGCGAGAACGAGGGGACGTGGAAGCCAGTCAGAGACCCAGAGGGAACAGCAGGGCACGGAAGATTAGTAGTGTAGCGAGCAGTGACTGGTCCCGAGGTGGGATCAGCCAGAGCTACAGAGACCGGCGCCGGAAGCGGAGTAAGTGTCGTGTGGTCCCGGAAGAAGCAGTGCGAAGCCCTAGAGTCCAAAGTGAAAGACAGCGAAGTGTCCTCCGAAGTAGCTCCTGGACTAGTGTCTACACAAGTGCCTACACTAGCAACAGGCAACTCAGCAAGACTAGCACCTAAGCTATCAACACTCGAGTAAACAGAGTCAGAAGCACTAGGCTCAACAACAGCATACATAGCATGAGGAGTTCCTAAGATCAACCAACTGAGAAGTTGACATGCCCCAAAGATCGGAGTCGTATGTCTGAACAAGAGGAAACCAGTCAGGGGCAGGGCCGCCAACGCCAAAGGCCAAGCGAACTGTGTCAGTGAGCTGAGCAAAACATTGACCAGGAGGGTGGGCGCGGCCATAAGGCTCGGCGAGCACCTGTCAAAAGCTGATAGGTGCACGAAGGGTGAACAACACCTCGCTGGGGCTGGCGCTGTCCTGGCCCCGAAACCTGCTGCTGCCGCTGCTGCTGCGAGGGGAGGGGCTGCTGCTGCCGCTGGGCCAGGTACCACGCCGCTTCTCCACCCGCCGCGGCCGACAGACCAGAAGGTGGCTGACAAGCTCGGGTGTCGCCTCCACCAGCTGCAGTAGGGGAGTCATGTCAGAATCCCAGCCACTAGACCACTGGGATAAAAGGGCTTGTTAAGTAGCGGGTTAGTGCGCCCATAACCCCCCAGGCCAGCGAGCCTGTAACCCTTCCTTAGGATCAATCGGGGATCACCAGTGGACCTCTGACACCCCCCTGCACTGGGATGCCCGAAGTGCACACACTGGGATTCGAACCCGAGACCTTCGCTCTGATACCATGTCAGAGTCCCAGCCACTAGACCACTGGGATAAAAGGGCTTGTTAAGTAGCGGGTTAGTGCGCCCATAACCCCCCAGGCCAGCGAGCCTGTAACCCTTCCTTAGGATCAATCGGGGATCACCAGTGGACCTCTGACAAGTCACTAGCCACTGCACGAGACGCCTCTCCAGGCCCTGCGCTCCCTCCGCCACCAGTCGGCACACCACCCCCGCCACCTCCGCCGCCAACGCCTCCACTGCCGCCGCCACCTGTACCCTGACCGCCCCTCTTGCCACCTCTACCTCGAGACCGCGACGTAGTCGTAACAGCAGCTGCAGTCATGTCAGCAGCAGCAGTGGCGAGAGAGGCTGTAAAGGTGGGCACCTGAGGGACAGTGCACCCGTGGAACAGTGGAGGGGGCACAGCACCAGAGGCGGAGGCTACGGAGCGGAGGTTGCTCTCGACGTCCTTGAGCGCAGACTCAAGGACCTCGATAATGAGCTCACTAGGGTGCTTCAGAAGAAGCGTATCACGGACCGAGGCAAGGCGGTCAGGGAGGCTAGTGGCGATGAAATAGATAGTAATCGCCATGGGGGGAGGAAGCAGTGCAAGCTGTGCCTCAGTGCAAGCAGCGCGGTAGCTAGAATCAAGCGAGCGGAGGTGAGCAATCAAGTCAGCAGAGCGCTCAAACGAGGCGAGGTCAGAGAACAGGAACGGTAGGAAGAGTTGGCCAAGAGAGACAGTGGTGGGAGTAGCGTAGCGGGCCTTAATCGCAGTCAGCTCACTAGCAGTGCAAACCTGAGTGAAGTGGGCCTCCTCAGACTCAGGGAGGAGGCTGCTAAGAGCGATGCAGGCCGCAGCGTCACGCGAATTCCACGCCGTCAAGTCAGCACGCTGGCGGGTAAAGCGGTCCCTGGCTGCGTCGTCAGGGGCGGTGCCTAAAGGCGTAGGGTCGTCGGGCGCTGGAAGGTCACCAGTAGCGTGCGCCCAAAGGGATTCGCCCGCCTGAACCTGACTCTCTAAATGGCGACGCGCGCGTAGGAGCTAGACCGGAAACTCGAGCGATCTACCATCAGCGTAAAAGCGAAGAACCCTAGGGGTCGCCATAGTGTATGTAGAAGCGACAAGTTCGGCGGCGGGTGGCACTGGTAGGGACGGTGGGCAGCTAGGGCAAGTCCGTGACGGGCGCAAAACGCGGGCGCAACGGGGCTAGGGGCGGTCCCGCGGCGGACTGAACGAGTAGGCGCAGCGGTGCGAAGGAAGGGCCTAACGAGCGGGCCCGCAGTGGACTTAACGAGGAGGCGTGGCGGCTTGCTGAACTGGCAAGCGCAGCGGCTGTAAGGGAGGGCCCACGGCGGCTATAAGGGAGGGCCCGCGGCGTGCCTAACGAGCAGGCGCGGCGGCGGGCGGTACGGGCAGGCGCGGCGGCTGTAAGGGAGGGCCCGTGGCGGCTGTAAGGGAGGGCCCACGGCAGGCCTAACGAGCAGGCGCGGCGGCGGGCGGTACGGGCAGGCGCGGCGGCTGTAAGGGAGGGCCCGCGGCGGCTGTAAGGGAGGGCCCGCGGCAGGCCTAAGGAGCAGGCGCGGCGGCGGGCGGTACGGGCAGGCGCGGCGGTAGGCGCGGCGCGCGAGCGGGCGTTTAGGGCAACGGGGGGAGGACGCGACGCGACGGGCAGGGTGGGAGGGCACGTCGCGACGAGCAGCGGGGGAGGGCGTGACGGGACGGGAAGCCGGGGAGAGCGCGACGCGACGGGCAGGGGGGGGGAAGGCGCTACGCTACGTGGAAAGTGGGTCGGCGGAGCGGGCGCTAACGAACGAGCGAGACTGGATCGGGCCGGCGCTAGGCTCGGGCAAGACGGGTACGACTAGTACGAGAGAGCGAGACTGGATCGGGCTGGCGCTAGGCTCGGGCAAGACGAGTACGACTAGTACGAGAGAGCAAGACAGGCTCGGGCGGAACGAACGAAGATGGGAGGAGCGGGATCCCACAGTGTTGTGGGATCTTAACCTAGGTGATACCATGTCAAGAATCAAAGTGTTGTGTTATTGATGAGGGTTGGGGTACATATAGCAAACCCTAACATTTGTACCCCCTAAGACAAACCTCACTACAGGCTACAACATTTGACAGTACCGTAGTTCCCTTCCCAGGTTAGCTGGGCAGAAGGTACCGTATCACCTCGAATAGTAGCGCATATGCGCTTATAATAAAATTAAAAAAATTAGGGGGGGGGGGGGGGGGGGGGGGGGGGCGCTTGTAATTGAGTCTAGGGCGTAAGTGCATGCTCTTATATAATGACAATCACAAAAAAATATTTCTAGAGCACCAAATTGTACATCTACTTCTTGCCATTTCAACCGAGTCGATTTTTTTTCGAGTCACCAAGCAGAATCGCGCGGAAGGGATACTCTGCCAACAAAGACATATTCTGCCAGCTCATCCCGACTGGACACGAAGCCAGTCAGGTCTTCGCGAGTCAAACCAAGTGAGAATGAAATCGAACTCGCTGCAAAAATGAAACTCGATGCCGTTTTGAGCACGATTTCGAATTAATATTGTACGTGCGCTTATAATAAGTAAAGGTTTTTAGGGGGGGGCGCTTATAATTGAGGACCGGCCATAAGCGCATGGCTCCAGATAGAAGCGCCGGCGCTTTTAATAGGAAGGCGCTACTATCCGGGGTGATACGGTATCACATCACATTCTCCATTAGAAATTGATGATTTCTCTTGAACCGATATTGAACATTGAAAAAGCATGGGTGCAAGCTACAGGGTATAAAAGGCGAGAAGCGAAGGAATCACGAAACGAGAGCACCCCACAGACTAAATTTAGAATACCATTGCTTAAACATAATGGTGAATACCACGTGATGATCAAAGAATGCTCGTCCCACTGACTTGACTTGACGATGTCCAAATAAATGGAAATTGGAATGTGAGAGCTGTCATGCCTCTGCATGCGTGAGATGCCTTTCCTTCGGTTTGTGGTATTGCACTTGTGTCAGGGAGCAGCATGACTCGGGGGATTCAGGGAGCATGGTGCATCCTTCAGCCAAATTGTAATTACACTGGTACCAAATGCCTTTCTCTCCTGCTCCGCTGTGCTGCCCTTCTCTGCTCGTATCACCAACCGCTGCGCCTGGAGAGAGGGAGGGGAGAACGCATGGAGAGACAGAAAATTACATGGGGATAGGTACGGAGGGCAATCGAACTGGAAAAAGGTACGTGCACGGAAACACAGTGCAGGAAGAGGAGGGGGAGAGGAAGGGGGAAGGGAAGGGGGAGAGGGAGGGGGTGAGAGGGGAAGTGGGAGGAGGAGGAGGAGGAGGAGGAGGAGGAGGAGGAGGAGGAGGAGGAGGAGGAGGAGGAGGAGGAGGAGGAGAAGGAGGAGGAGGAGGATTGTAGGGCTACTTCCGGCGGCACTGCTGTGGAAGCAGTGGCATCACCAGGGGCGCCAGCCGCATCACCAATGCTGCTGGCAGCAGATTGGGCGTTGGGTCAGCCGATAGCCTTTCTGGGTGAGGTGAGCACACAGGAGGTCAGGACGCCTGGGTGAGGACGCCTGGGTCAGGACGCCTGGGTCAGGACTCCTGGGTGAGGACGCCTGGGTGAGGACGCCACGTTGTGCTGCAGGTACAGGCGAATGGCAGGCGAATGGCTCCCTCAGACTGGAGGGCCCTGAGAGAGGGAAGGACACTAAGAGCACGGGCATGGCGGGAAGGGAAGGGCGCATAGGCAGAGGGTAAAGGGCGGGAAGACTGGCTCCACTTGCCTTTTGTGCTACAGAACAACCCAGCTGCAACTGCGTCCGGTGAGGCGTCTTTGGGGGTTATGGGTCATGGAGGACGGGAAGCAGCACGTGCCGGTCGTGCAACACGAACCACATGGGGCTGAATGGGGGGGGTGCTTCGCTGCCGCGTCGTGTGGCTGCAGCTGTATGGAGCAGCCTGTGGCTGGTCAGGCCCTCTTGGAGTTGAGTTGAGAGCGCTAGACGGGTAACCAGCAGGTGGGGGTTGAGCAAGGTGGAGCACAAAGGGCAGAGGGACGTGAGTTGGAGCGGATAGAATGGGAGCATGGATGCAATAGCAAGGGCAGATAGTGGAAAGAGGTTGGCGGTTAACATATGGGGGATGAAATCAGGTTTCTTTGAGACGTATGGTAACAATGCGAGGAATGGCGCCAAGACATGGAGGGAGCGCGGCAACGGGAATGGGAGAAAGGGGAGAGTGGAGAGATATTTTTTGGGTGATTTCAAAATACGCCAACAACACCAATGGAAGAAACGGGAGGAGGGGCAGCTTGAAGAGTGAGTGAGAAACGAGAGAAGCGCGGGATAAGGGAAAAAAGGAGGATGGAGCAATCTCGGTGGGGATGCAGGATGGGACCTGTATGCTGAGTTCCTAAGTGCCTCGAACATTGCGAGCTGAGTGCTTCACCAATAAAAGGTGTATCGTAATTTTAACTTACCTTATCAGGGGTTCCCGCACTTCCCAGGAAGCCCACCTCTTACAGTTTACAAGCTGACTGACCTCACTGATCTGAACAGAAATGAACAGCTCTGGCAGCGCAGAGTAGGTGACTTCTGAGTTGACTCAAAAGTCACCAATCTGACCCCCTTTTTATCAGCATCAAACAGCTCTGCCTGCACAAAACAGCACAGCACAGACAGCAGCCACAGCCCTGATTGCGATAAGTACAATTGGGAAGAAACGAGGGAAATGGGATAGGAGGGTGCAGGAACTGAGAAAGGAATTGCAGGAAAAGGGGAAACGGGCAGAGGGAAGTGGGGAAGGGAATTGTGGGGATGGGGTAATAAGCAGAGGGGAAGGGGGCAAGGAATCGCAGGGAAATGGGTAGTGGGGAATGAGCAGAGGGGAATTGCAGGGTATGGGGAATGGGCAGTGGGGAATCGTAGGGAATGGGGAGTGGGCAGAGAGGAGTTAGAGGGAGCATCGTTGGGATTGTTGTTCATATGTGTCGCTGACTGGATTTCCTTGGGCGAGATCATGGTGGAGTGGAGAGGGGTTGATAGAGAAAACAAGATCCAGCGACCTTGAAGGCTAGCCGGTGATTGGAATGAGACCCGAAAAACGGGTGTGACATGATAGCGGTCATCAGGAATAGAAGATGGTGATTGCGGGAGTGCCACAACGTGAAATCGACACTCAGCGACTCTAACATGGCCTAGAGGATAGGTGACCTGTGGGGAAGCAGTCCAAGGTAAGGCAAGCACGTATGAGAAGTAATCCACTCACGTATGGCAAGCAGCGTGGATGGGGTGGAATTGGGAAGTCCTTGCGAATACGAGCTGGTGGTGGTGTACGAGCGGGGTTGGGTTGGCATAAAGTCAGAACTTGGAGTTCTCTCAGTGGCGTGATTTTCGGAATGGGTGGCATGGGAAAGAGTAGTTGTTGTGGCACAGCTGAATGAGTGAACTCCGGATTGTGAGTGACTGGCAGGAGTCGCATGACAGGGTAACAGCTTGCGATATTCCCCAAAGACTCTCAACAGACTCGGGCTTGTTCTCGTTATGGCCCCAACCTGAGTTGAAGTGACCCTGTAACGAAGGCAACCAATTCACCTCAGCGCCCCAGCGCCCTAGCAAGCTCTGAGACGGCCTCTGAGACCATCTTCCATCACTTCCTTTCCAAACCTTCCAAGGCTCTTCTCCGAGCGGATCCGAGGCAGCGGCACAAGGCAAATTGCCCGGGCCTCAAACCAGACTCAAGGTTCCAAGCCACCTCTGTCATGACCTTTAATACCCACGCCCCTTTGCTGCGCACTCGTCTGTAAGCCCCTGTGCAATTGTTCCGCCCTCTACTCTCACCTTTGCTCTGCCCTCAGCTCTGCCTGCTGCAGCGGGTTCTGCAGGCTCACGCAGCACCACTCTTGCCATGTCGTCTGGGTGCAGCAAGGAGGAGCAGGAGGCGGGAGATGAGCCACTGACACTGCCATTGCCGGTGCTGACGGCACTGCTGCTGGAGAAACTCGTGCTGACAGCTCAGAAACGATTGTCCCATGGGAGCAGATCGGGGAAACATGGGTGGAACGGGAGAAAGTGGGGCAGAGGAGATAAAGGGAGGGAAAGGGGAAGAGAGCAGTTACTACCGTATATCCACACTTGAATGGCGTCCAAGGCGGTTCAATCCAACAGCCCGGAGTTAGATATTGCATGGAGAAGAAGGAGAACAGAAGATGTCGCATCCCAGCAGCCCCACACGTGCCAATTTTGTGTGGTACAGCAGATATTCTATGGTTGTATTGGATGTACAGCGGTACATTGAACCCGTGTTAGGGTTCATTGTTGCCTCGGCAGAAAGTTGTGACGCTTATACAGTAACAGTCCATAACGAGTTTGTTTCAGATAAGGCCCTGCTGACGCGTCAAGGAACTGTGACAGCACACTTGGATGTGACAGCGCGGATGTGCCTTGCGACTGCTGTGACGCTCAATCTAGGGAGGAGGCCAAATCCACACCATCGAAGTTGTCGCAAGTCACTTCGCTTAAGTTTCGCCAATCCGCTCGTGCGAAACGACACCAGCTCAGTGCTTTTTGGTGCGCAGGACACTTCTCTCGCTATTCAAACTCTACCTACAGAACAGCCCTCTCATAATCTTGTATCATTCTCCATGCTCTTAGGTCCTCAGCTTGCGCGTTGCTCTGGCGGAGTGCGTTTTATTCCTGATATAACGAGTACTGACCTATTTGTCGCTCTTCTCTCCGTCTTACATCCTCCCACCAGCAGGATATTGATCATCTTTCAAGCCGGACGGTACCAAGGAACTTTTTCCCCGCGGCAAGAGATTCGCGATTACGCTACCGTCTCACGACCTACGCTCGCTGTCCTTCATGTGCACAGTAAGTGCGTTTCTCTCAATAACACGAACGTGTGGGTACCTATTTATGTGCAGAATACGACCCGCGCATGACATCAGCGCGAGATTATCGACTTCCGAGATTATTACTGTCGTCAGGCGTCCGTGACTATCGCCAAAGGTTCCCATCGCCATATTTTCGCCGCGTGTTCTCCCCATCGCCATATTTACTTCGCGTTTGTTCCTCGTCGCCATATTATCGCCAAGTTTAATTTCTGAAGATAAGCATTTCCAGCAAATTGTTCCTGGACACATCAACTCACGCCATATGAAAGGTATGCAGCTGCTGGGAGTTTTTTCTAAACTTATGCTAACCTAGCTCCACTATGTTTGTTGGTTGCTGCTCAGTACAGCCCCCCTCTGGTTGCAAACTGTTACTATTGTGCTGTGTGCAGGTTTACTGTAAGCGGGTACATAGGCTTTGTTTTAAAAAATCCCACTTGGTGCTCCTGGGTTATTGATTGAGATAGCACATGTCATTGCTTGTCACAATCTGTAAATTAATACTTCTGTACAATCATTTGTCATAGCAAGCATAACAGCAACTCTTTTGTTCCGTTACAGTGAGCCTTTTTAGGGATTCCCCCAGCTGTTGTAGTAAGGTTGGGCAATGTTGGCGCAAAGCTCATGCACACCTTGCCGAGCCTCGGAAGATTGCTCACACACTCGTTGCCGAGCCTCCAAAAGGCTGGGCAATGCTGGCGCAAAGCTCATACACTCCTTGTCGAGCCATCGAAAGATTGCTCACACACTCTTTGCCGAGCCTGCGGAAGATTGCTTACGCAAACCTAGTGATGAAACATCAAACAAACCTCTACTGTTGAGCAATGCACATGATAAACCACGAGCATTGGTGCCTCGGAAGTACTTTTAGCAAACTCTACGCATTGCACAAACAAAGTTGGGGGCCCAATTTTTTTGCAGAGAATAGCACAAATGGTCAGCTCGGAAACTCACATACTCACAGCTTACACCAGAAACGAGAATCAGAGGAGGCATAGTCAAACCACCAGGACTTGAGCGTTGCATGCGGCAGCTTGACACGTCACATAGTGGCTGAATGACGTGGCAATGCCGAGCACGCAAGAGATGACGGGCCCCACGGCTGTACGAATCGCCAAGGCTGTACGAATCGCCAAGGCTGTGCGAATCGCCAAGGCGTCGCCTGGACGGCGGAACCGAGGAAAAGAGGGGGAAAGGCCGAAGCGGGGAGGAATGGGAGAGGAGGGGGAAGCGGGGGGGGGGAGGGAGAGGCGGAGGGGGAGAATAGGGGGAGCTCTACAAAATGTCAAACGGAAAAGAATGCAAAATGATTTCAAGGGGACTGCTTGAGGTTTTCCCCTGCCGTCAATGCTTGTGGTCTATCATGATGAATGCTGAACAGTTGAAGATTCTTCAAGGAATCATTCGAACGGTTTCTTGAGCAATCTTTAGCAGGCTCGGCAAGCAGTGCACGAGCATGCACCCAGCATTGCTTATCCTCGCTATAGAATCAGGAAATCCAACTGAAAGGATTTTTACAACAATTCAATCATCACAGTACACGCAGCTCATTATGGCAATCACAAAGAAACTATCAATCGAAAATTTGACATGTGGCACTGTAGTTGTCTGGTGCATTCATTCTCTGCAATAAGTTATATTGATTGTTTACTTAAATATTCTGTAAAATTTTTAGGA